CAATAAGGTCATGAAAAATAAGTTGAAGCTCCTGAACTTGGGTTCCAACAGTTTTACTGTCTATCATTTTATAGTCTAGAAACTTGGCAACCACGAACTTCTTCAAGCATGCATCTTCAGTCTTGTACTTCTTCTCAAGTGCGTCCCATAATTCTTTCGAAGTATTCATCGCACTGTACACATTGTACAAGTCATCCTCTAAAGCGCTTAAGATATAGCATTTGCAAAGAAAATCTGTCTGCTTCCACGCCTCAACAATCATGAATTTCTCATTGTCCGGCATGTCCGCAGCAGGCACTAGAGGTTCTTCACTAGTGAATTTCTGCATACCAAGTGTGGTAAGCCAGAAGAACACCCTTTGCTACCATCCTTTGAAGTTGGCTCCGAAAAATTTCTCCGGTTTCTCTGCCGGTGGAACAGCAGTCCGGCTTGACGAGGCTATCGTCGTTGCCGCAATAGTCGCAGAAGAATTTCCGTTATCAATTGTCATTTCTCACTGTAAACAACAGAAGAGTTCAATTAATGGCAAAATCAGAACAGTACACAATACTGTTATTAACAAACAAAAAAACAGTATGTATAATAAATAAAATCGAAGTTTTTATATACTGTTTTACAGAAAAATGATGAAGTTTTTATGTTCTTCAAATCGTCTTACGAATTTCAATACTGTGATGAAGTTTTTATATCTTCAAATCAGAATAGTAAAATTCAGAAAGAGTAGAAAATCACACAAGTTTTAATCTCCACAAACAAAATACAGAATATAAAAAAAAATTTCTTAAGATTGTTATTATTCTGTAATGCTGTAATAAACAATTACACTTTCTGAAAAAATAAAACAGAAAGTTAGTAATACTTGTTTAACGAAATAGATTCTGGAAAACAAGAAAACAGTATAGGAATAAATCGAGCCTACTGAATACACAGTGTGTCCTTAAGAAAATTATTTCCCTCAAGTACCCGAGGTGCTGGAATATATCCTCCCAGGATAGAACGATTTAACTCACCAGTGTATAGGTACCAAAACTCTGATGAACTGTGAACCACTCAATGGTCGTAAAACACACTGGAAAATATTGTGCAGAAGAAGAAGAAGAAGAAGCTCAGAAAATTTCGTAAGGAAAGATTCTGGGATTCAAACTCTATTTATAGAGTTGATGGCAATGTTTCTGAAAAGGTTTGCAACCTTTCAGAAACAGCCATGACTGTTGAAAAGGGGTGTTTGAAATATTGCGGGAAAAATATATTTAAAATAATCCGGGAAAGAAAATAATTGAAAGAAATTTTGTCCAAAAAGATTAATCAATCAATCGATCTTTGACCAAATCCAAACAATGTTTCTGAAAAGGTTTGCAACCTTTCAGAAACAGTCATGGCTGTTGAAAAGGAGTGTTTGAAATATTACGGAAAAAATATATTTAAAATAATCCGGGAAAGAAAATAATTGAAAGAAATTTTGTCCAAAAAGATTAATCAATCAATCGTTGACCGAAGCCGAAGCCGAGTGACGACGACGACGGCGCGAGGCTTGCCTTTTTCTTAACTCTTTAAGAGCTAGAAGAAGAGCAATTATATATATACCCATCAAAAGCCTTTTCTTCCTCCGATATGGGACAATGTTCCTTTCCCAAGGGAAACTCAAATATTTCATTTTTCCTCCATTTCTCATTCACCATCTTTAAGCTACACAAGCTTAAAATCCCAACAGCAAATTCTTTGGTATTATCAAACATTATGCTACTTCGATCATAACTCACCAAAATAAGCATGAAACTTGAGGAGTTTTGGCTGAACTAGCCTGCTTAGGGATGACGGTGCGGGGCGGGGCAGGTTTGGGGTGTGCAGGGCGGGTTAGAGAGTTCGCTTGTACGGGGCGGGTTGCAGTTAGAGTTAGTTTTTTTTTTTTTTAATAAAAAAAGAGAAAACTTAAGTCTAAAGAACTAAAACGCTAAAAGGTGACGACTGCTGAACTAAAACCTAATAACATGACAGCTAAAATCATATCTCCCCTCTCAAATTTCCTCTCAAAATTTGACTTATCAAGAGTTCCTTTTCGACCAAAATAATGCTTAAGTTTAGATTTAAGGGCTAATGAGTTACATTGTCAGCAAGAAAAGGGGGAAATCTGTACAGAAGCTCTGAATGTTAAGCTTATCAATTTTAGTCAGGAAATATTGCATAAAATTTCTCTAAAAAGAAGAATATAATGCTCGGAATGTGGTATCTTTTGATAATTTTCCCAAATTAAAAAATTATCAAACACGGTGGAGCGGGTGGGTTTACACGGGGCGGGGCGGACCGGTTAAAAACAGCAAATCTTGCTTTGCTGCCCCGCCGGAAGGTTTTTGGTGACAAGACCTGGAGATATCAGAAGTGAGAATCAAAATCTATTGATTGGTAGAAGGCTAAGAGCATTTACCTTACACAAGATTTTTCTAAATCTTTTTGGTGTTTTTGTATTTAAGGTAAGTAACTAACTAATAGTAGTATGCAAAGAATAAGACAGATATCCTGTCTTGGCGACAATTTCGAGTACTAAAGATTGACAATTTTATTTTCATGTTTGCTGAAACAAGAGACATAACCAAAGTAAAAATAATTGCATGAGTTTACCCCATTCGGTGTAAACATTTTCCTCCGGAAAACATTTTCATCAATTTAAAGCAACTATAACTGAAAATATTTCATCAGCCTAAGAAAAAGTTAACATCATACAGAAAACACCCTAAATCATCAGTTATATTTTCACCTTAAACCAAATTAATGCACAATTAACAATATCAAAATTAACAAGAAATTATGAAACACAAGCAATTAATTGTTAAGTATTACACAACAGCTGTTGGTGTTTAAATTCAGTTAAAAGATTTAAGCTCAGTTATTTATTTACAAGTGCAGACATATTAAAAGCAAAACAATTGTCTCATTTAGATCAACGTGATACGTAAAAGAGGGTCAACATAGAGATAAACAGAGACGCTCAAGCAGCTTCAGCAAAACCAACTCTCGAATTGCCATAGTCAAACACTGTGTGGTAGCGACCCATGAAAACATCTCCCAAGATCCTGCACCACATGACATCCAATGAGTTAATTTTTCAACTATATCCACTAGATCACTAGGAAGGGGAGCCTTGGCGTAACTGGTAAAGTTGCTGCCATGTGACCAAAAGATCACGGGTTCGAGCCGTAGAAACAGCCTCTTGCAGAAATATAGGGTAAGGTTGCGTACAATAGACCCTAGTGATCCGTCCCTTCTCCGGACCCCGCGTATAGCAGGAGCTTAGTGTAGCGGGCTGCCCTTGCCACTAGACCACTAGATTCTATCAGATGTATCGAAGTCAAATGAACCAGTATCCATAAATAGTACTAGTACTGAAAATAGATATAACTATTTAAGCATAATTATATATATACAAAATAATATTCTAAGTCACCAGGGTTCTTGAATATAGAAGAACATCATACAAATAATAGTCAACTTTCTAGGGCATGCATACCGAACAATACAAAGTGTAAAGTGTGGATGGGTTGCCTTCGGGAGGTTGCCTCATCCCGAGGCGAATCGCAGGAGAGCCCCTATATTACCTTCTAAAACATTGTTATCCAAAACTCTCATCCAGTTTCAATTCTGAATATTATGTAGAAACTCAGCACTAAGATAGTTTGGAAAGACCTTTTGCAGAGCAGCAATTTGAAAGAATAATACTTGCATTTTAACGCTAGACTAAGAAGTTCCAATAGATGCTTGAAGAAAATGATTTACATTGAGGTACTTAAAAAGAAATAATTCCTCCATTTGGTACGGAATTTAACAAAAAAAAGAAAGGCAGATCTTTTAAACTTGTGGTCTAAACAAGCCCATTTTTTGTGGCTATAAATCATCATATTAAGGGTAAAATAAGATGATTAAAAATTGTTCCAAAATATAGAAAGGTATCATTCTTTACAGAATAGACAAAAAATAAAGTGCATCACATAAATTGCGACAGAGGAAGTACAACTAATTTTCTTTGAGGTGATTCATAGAAAGCTGCTTATTGTGGAATCAATCAACCATTCTAGTGAGTAGTGAGAGCGCAGGGCAAAAGGAAGAGAGGCTTACCAAAGGGGTCCACGAGGAGGAGGCACGTCTAAAGCTGTAAATCCACTGATGCACTGTGCAACAGGTCCCTCACCAACTTGAAGGACATACTGTTCAGTAACAAATACACACAAAAAAAAAAAAGAATGTTACCCATCTGCATATTTGCGCTTTGTCAATGTGATTTCTTATGCTAAATATTTGTCAAAGAGTGTTCTATTTTGAGACCTATATACAAAACTGAAACAGTAAAAAGCCTTCATCCTAGCGTTAAATCAAACTCGGAAAAGCATCAGTTGGTTCAATGATAGACAAAACAAGGAAATCTAAAGATTGCTCATTCTTCTTGAAACAATTGGCTGAGTTGACTATCTATGAGACACTTGTTGATAACGAAGTTGCTGTGAAGCAACTATCTAAAATGAAAGAAACCGTATCAGTAAATCGAATGAATAATTACCTGCTGTGGCGTCAGGCCAAATGTTTGATTACCAACGGTAAAGGAAACATTAGGCATGGAAGCAAGGCTGCTGCAGTCAACTGCAGATTCTCCCATTGGACTGGGCAATCGGTCACACAGCTGCAGTTGGAATTACTAAAGCCTTGAGATCCCAATTAACCAACAATCACTTTGCATAATGCATAAAATCTAACTCACCTGATTAACATAGTCGTAGATGCTATCTGCAGTTTCATTTCGTCTCATTTGGTTTTGCATCCATATCACAGCCATCTCACAAACCCTGCACATCTCATCACCCAAGCCATTTGAAGCCCCATTGTGTTTGTCCACCACACTCTCAATGATCATGCTGGCACATAGAATTAAACATTAACAATTAGTCCAGTAATACACCAATGAAGTCGAGGAAAAATGTGTTGAAACAGGCAGCAAGCTGAACCTGCAGCAACTTAAGTAACAAAAAATTGTTAACTTTTTCTCTAACAGTAATCACTAGAGAAAGATGGTGATACATTGATGAGAGAATGTGTATACTTGACCACTTCTGATTACAATCATTTCAAATGCAAAATGTTGAACTGCAGATGTGTTTAACCTCACCTAACATCCCGACTACCATCAGAAGAGCATAGACCGATTTGTGAGCAGATCTTTTGAGGCGCTGCCTGTAAAGCATAGGCAGGAAAAACAGCACTCAGATCCTAATACCAAAATGCAGTAAGGTGCTGAAAAAATTAATAACTTGACAGTTTGGTGCCTGGTGAAGAGATTCGGATGCAGTACATACATACATACATACATA